GGTTAAATCTGTAACGAACATACTTTACAATATTTTACATATTAGTAAGGAATATTTTTTTCCCAATGTTTATTTAAATATTCGTATCAAGGAATTGTGTGATCGTGGAAAAGACTGAATGTTAGAAAAATAAATATCCCATAAATTCAGTCTTTTAATTTTATTATAAGAAAATAATATAATAATTAATATAAAATAAATAATAAACATTTATTTATTCACTAACTTAATAGTGTACAATGGTTTAAATAGTTTTTTTTAATAAACTGCACATTTTACTTAGGCAGTAAAACACTGGATACATAAGGAGGTTACTTAGGTTTATTTTACACAAGTTATTTGTACTAGCTTGGAATATTATCAGCATTTATTTGTTTTTAAAACCTATTGAAATTTAAAAATATGTAATGTTACTGAGCGATAAGTTTTCTATTGGTGACTGAATTTTTGAAATCGACACAATACTTTTTGAGGTATTTCAATACATACAAAAATAAAAATCTTTCCTCTTTATAATGTTAGTCTGTTTTTAATATTAGCAGCCACATATTATTTTTTAATTCTATCATATGTACATTTCAATTTAACTGACAACAACTATATTTTATTAGGTATATAAGCCTAGAAATGAAAATATCCATATTCTATTAGTTATAAGAAATTGAATTAAAAATGAAACATCTAAAACGCGTGATTTATAATGTTCAACAAAGAAAAATAAAAAAACTCCAAAAATTTACACAACGCTTCATTAATAATATTAAAATCATTACTAGAAGTCTTTTGAGGGGAGAACGAGACATTCGGACAAACACACGAGATAGAAAGAGATAGATCATGCTTTATCAACTCCTGTCGTTTTTAAGGTGATTTTGTATCACCAGCGATACAAGAATTGGGTGAATAGGAATAAATATGTCATCAACATATCGAATGATATTTTCAATTCAATTCCATACATTTTAACTATTATTAAGGAGTTGGATCGAAACGAGATATGTTGAGGTGATGAGATGGTGAGATGGGGAGATGGTAAGGTGAGGCTTTCGTATAACTAGCTAAATTTACCTACTCAGTTAGGTAACAAGATTTTTTTTTCGTTTTCGTAACCGGTAGGGTGCGTATACTTTTATGTTTTTCGGGCCATTTGTTACTACTATTATTATTAGTAAAGTATTACTTTTCCTGCAAATTCCAAATATTGAGTGTGGTGTCCGCCTGAGTAAAATTGGACGTGTGGTTTCAGACAAAGTAGTATCAGCAGTTTGGTAACCAGATTTTTTTTTCTTGCATTTTTGAGTGTCGGAACCCCAACTTTGCTCGTTTCTCGCCTTATGGTATAAAAAAATAATCAAAATCGTGGAATTCGCAAGTTGAATTCCGGGACTTAAAACACAAAAACTGCGACCAAAGGTAAAATGTCAATTAAATCGATATTAATTTCCGCTAGTTTGGTCTTAAAATCGATAGCTGATCGTTTTAACATGGGATTGATGGCAGGAAACTAACAAAGTGTACCCATCCTAGCACAAAGTTAGGTAAACGTAACC